TAAACCATGCCCACTCGGACACGGAATGTCCGGTTTGACAGGTAACTTTTGATTATGTGAAACATTCTTCCGCGCACGCCAAGGTTGGATAGGTCTCTTAGAATTCCAAAACGCCATGTTGTATCATAAGCCTTTTCGATATCGAGGAACACGGAGAGAAAATATTGTTTATGGACGAAGGCGTCTCTGATCTGTGCCTCGATACGAACAAGGTGGTCTGTCGTGGATCTACTCTCTCGAAACCCGCACTGAAATGGGTCGAGCAAATTGTTTGTTTCAAGAAAGTGTACAAGTCGGCAGTTTATCATTTTTTCGAAGACTTTGCACAAGCAGCTTGTAAGTGCAATAGGCCTATAACTCGAAGCTAAAGAAGGGTCCCTGCCCTCTTTCAAAATGGGAATAACAATAGCCTCTTTCCAGGAGGTAGGAATAGTGCCAGAAGACCAAATAGCATTGTACAAACAAAGTAAGGTTTTTCGGGTTTCGTTTGGTAGGTTCTTTAACATTTCATACATCACACGGTCAGAACCTGGGGCAGAAGTACTGCAGGAGTTCAGAGATGTTCGGAGCTCAGCAAGACTGAAAGCTTGGTTATATCCCTCGTATCTAGTGGATTTGTGTTCAAGTTTCTGCTTTTCTATTCTTGTTCTGTATTTTTGGAAAGTGTCAGTATAGTGGGACGAGCTGGATACCTGTTCGAAGTGTGCACCGAGGAAGTTTGCCTGATCTTCCAAGGTATCACCCTGAGTGTTTACGAGTGGAAGTGTGTGTACTTGTTTTCCTGCTATCCTATGGACCATGTCCCAGACTTTAGCCTCCTGTGTGTATGAATTAACCCCTGATAAAAACTTCTGCCAGCTTTCTCTTCTGGCCTGCCGACGCGTTCTCCTGCCTTGAGACTTTATTTTCTTGAAGGTTTCAAGATTTTCGGCTGTCGGCGAGTTCCGAAGCAGCCTCCAAGCTCTGTTTTGCTGTTTGCGCGCGTTTCGGCATTCAGAGTTCCACCATGGCACACGTCGTTTTCCAGGGTGTCCATTTGTTTGTGGGATGCATTTTGTTGCAGCATCGATCAAAAACGCTGTGAAGTAGTTCACCGCAACATCAATGTTCAAAGTACGGATGTCATTCCAACCTAGACTAGCAATAGTATAAAACTGTTCCCAGTCGGCTCTGTTTATGAGCCACTTGGGAACACGTGATGGACACTCAGTTACTGTCGTGCTCAAAACTACGGGGAAGTGGTCACTTCCGTACGGATTACTGACGACTTTCCAGTGGAGTAGAGGCACAAGAGATGGAGATACTATGCTCAGGTCTATGGAGGAGTAGGTGTTATTGGCGAGATTATAATAGGTTGGTTCTTTTCGGTTTAGGAGACACGCGCTCGACGAGAGAAGGAACTGTTCGATTAGTCGACCTCGCGCGTCATACCGAGAGTCTCCCCATAGCCTGCTATGCGCATTAAAGTCTCCAAGGAGAACATAAGGTTCCGGAAGTTCATCAATTAAAGAGTGTAAATCACGTTTCTGTAGCTGATAACTAGGAGGAATGTAAATCGTGCAGATTGTGATCAGTTTATCAAAAAGAACCGCTCGAACAGCCACTGCCTCAAGGGATGTTTGGAGTTGTAAGTGTGTGCATGCAATTTCTTGATTCACTATGATGGCAACACCTCCGGATGATGTCACGGCATCATCACGGTCCTTTCGAAAAATAACGTATTTGCGAAGAAAATTTGTGTGTTTTGAATTAAGGTGTGTTTCTTGTACACACAGCACTTTTGGTGAGTGTTCGTGTAGGAGTTCTTGGATGTCGTCAAGGTTTCTGAGAAGGCCCCTGACGTTCCATTGTATAATTTGAGTGTTAATGATGAATGTAGAATAGTGCTGTGTGTACGAAAAGCGAGTGGCTGTTTAGACAGGGAGTTTGAGTTCACTTAACAGGGCCGTCACCGGGCCCTGTTATCTGCTTTTTTGTTTTCTTGGCGCGCTCCAAGGAGCCACGCCGCTCTTTCGGCACCAAGGGTGCCGACGTATCCATTGCCTCCTCGGAGGCACTGGATGCCCGCACGTGCGGGCTGTTAGTTTGGATTTTGGGCCTCGCCTGGTGAGGGGAGGCCTTGAGACCCGAAGACTCTGGAGTCTCCGGTCTCTGTTTGAGAGTAGGCGGTGTAGCCTGGGCTACAGCCGCCTTGGGGGCAGGTGCCACAGCCGACGGCTCGCTCTGCGCGGGCCGAAGGGGTGGCGAGGGCTGGTGCGGCGGTGCCCCCTGACGCGCCGCATCAGCGTATGTAGGTCCATAGAATGGAGCGACTCTTCGCCGTGCTTCCTTAAACGTAATGTTCTCCTTCACCTTCAATGTAATTATTTCTTTTTCTTTTTTCCAGTATGTGCAGGAGCGTGAATATGCGGCATGGTTTCCTTCGCAGTTCACACAGTGTGCCGGTTCTTTGCAGTTCTCGGACACGTGGCCTAGGACTCCACATTGTGCACAAGTCTGGCGACCACGACAGGTCTTAGAGCCATGGCCATACTTCTGGCATTGGAAGCAACGACGAGGATTTGGTATATACGGCCTGATAGATGTTTTCGTGTACCCTGTTTGAATGGAATCCGGTAGTTTACTGGATGCAAACGTGAGTATCAAGTGTTTTGTCGGTGTTTCCTTATTGTCTCTTCTGATGATGATTCTCTGTACATTAGTGACATTTTGGCTCTTCCACCCCTCCAAAAGTTCAGTCTCAGTCAAGTCAATTAAGTCCATGTCAGATACCACTCCGCGAGTTGTGTTCATTGACCTATGTGGTGTTATGGTTATTGGTATCCCACCGAAATCTGAGAGACGGTCTAGCTTTTCGAATTGTTCTTTGTCGCGGATTTCGAGGAGAAGGTCTCCACTAGCCATTTTGGTTACCTTGTATCCCGTGCCAAGAGTTTCGGTGAGACATCTAGAAACTAGGAAAGGAGAGACGGTCCTGGCTTGCTTTTCAGTTTTTTCACAATGGATAACATGAAAGTGAGGATATGTTTCTTTTGGCTGGTTGAAAAAATTTATAGCATCGGTGCGTACCCGCTTTAAGCCGGTACGATCAGACATTAGGGGGGATGCTCCATGCATGCCTTTCTTATTTTTGTTCAGCAGCGTTGGCGGCCACCCACCACGGAGCCCAACGAGGGGACGCTACAAGTTTACAGGTGCTGAAAACTGCAGACGCCAGCCGTACAACGCTACTATAACCCAATGCGCCTAGACCTAGGTAGGCTATTTGCACAGGGTTAACCCTAGCCGCCAGGAAGTTTGGAAGTAAACGGAAGAGAGTAGAAGACAGGACAGATAAATAGTAAGAGATAAAGACGAAGATGTAGGGAGAGAGAGAGATAGGAAAAGGCGACTGCCGATTTCCCCTGGGTGGGTCAGCCCAGGGGTGCCGTCTACGTGAAGCCGGGGCCAAAGGGGTGTGTTGCCTCTGCCGGGGGGCCTTAAAGGTCCAATCACCCAGCGTCAGCTCAACCCCCAGGATTCCCTTTTCCCCGGACACGGCAAAGCCACGCACGGCTAGGCGTGGGAGGGAGTAGAAACTCCCCCGTTAGCTCGGGTCCGTGGTGTCGCTACACACCAAACGCCTGCTTTATCAGGCGCCCCTGCGGGGACGATGCGTAGTGATAAGATCAAGACTAGCGTCTTCAACATTTCAAAAACGAAGAAGCAGGCCAAGGTTAGAGATTTTTTTGACGCAAATAAATCTGTTGCGGCGTTTGTGCAATTCTGTTGTGGCGTGCGTGCAGAATTAGTTGTGATTCTTCGATACACCTATTGTAGGTGATGATTCGCTACAGGCAAGTTGTCAGGGCCTCTATTTTTTTTATATATATAATTTTTTATATATAGAACTAATTTGCGATCCCCTTCGAGTTTGATATATCTGTGTTCGACTGCAACACCAAATCATGGCGTTTTTTATATAATGTAGTCCATTCGAAGCAACCTTAAAATCATCACGAAATTCGCATCAACTGTAATCGTACCATCAAAATTCTACTGTAGTTGCATATAAGATGTGCTATGCTGCGTGACCACATTTTAACAGTATTGCGATTTTCTTGCTCATGAAAGCACAGTTTTCCCATGAATGTGGCAAGATGATGTCACATTCATGGGAACTACGCTTTCATGCCTTCATGGTTGGTTTTCTTTTGCATGCCAGTCAGTACCAACTGCCCCTTATCACACCTTTCCCCTTATCACTACAAATTGTGGCAAGTATAGAGGCCTTGTGTCAAATACAATGAAGCAGTTATCTTACATCCCTAGGCTCGTTCAGAAAAGAATTACAAGAGGTAACCGATCATGGTCTTATTCCCTTTTTTTTTTTTTTTTCGGCACCGAGACTGAGCTTAGCACTGCGATGTTCAACACTCTCGGCAATCTGGGACTGAAACAATGCTCAGTGACAACGAGCGAGACAAGCTTGCCTTAGAACGGTTGAAGAAAAAAAAATAATAAACCTATTCAGTCTGCACAGCTGGTCTCATTTATTAACATGATAGCACCAAAAAAACCACTGACACAGAAATAGAATGTCATCAGTGTTGCCCCTAAATGAAAATCCTGATATCGATTCAAGCCAAAGTCAAACCGAGACATTCTGTATAGCAGTCAAGTATTCTGCCCCAGTGTTACCTGGGGCAGAACACTTGACTGTTACCTAGGGCAGAATACTTAACTGCCTGACATACCTGACATCACTGTGCATGAAGCTGCTTCAGTAAGGGTTCCTGGACCCCAAAGGGTTTGTTTTCAAGAAGTTGTACAGACAAGAGAGGACACAAGGACAATTTCAAAGTGCCAAGTGAAGGTTCAGGAGCTGGGTAGATGCATGCAGTCCAAAGAGATATTTGAACTGCCTCCAAATTGAAATTGTGAAGTTAGCACATACTGGTTCGGCATGTCTCATTAAAGTGCCATGCTCTGCCTGTGCAATGAAGATGAAGCGAACTGACCTCGCAACATCTGGAAGCTGGAAGCGTAGGTGAGATTGAGTCCAATGTACATGATGGAAGTGCCGACCAGGTCGCACATGGCCGGAGGGAGGAAGATGAGTGGGTTGAAGTCTCGGCTGCCGCTCACACTGGGAGGCAGCTCAACTGCCTCGCCTGCCTTGGCCTTGCGGGTGTAGTAGAAGAAGACAACACGGAAGGCCAACAGGCACGACATTTCCCCCAAGAACATGCCGACCGCCTGCACAGGCACCACGAAATGAAATGCTTTGAAAAGAGTACAAAACAAAGCAGAGGAAAAAGATTTCACATCACCCAGCACTAAGAGCCACTTCTATTCCCTGTTATCATGCTGATGTCTACAAGCAAGCAACATATTTTTAGTCTGCAATGCACACGTAGATTCCGTTCGTATGTTTTAATATTTTTGTCAACCTTCCTACTTCTACTCATACAACAGATTGCACAAATTACACGTCACATCGAACAATTCTTGCAGTGTCAAGTACTACTTTGATGTATACAGGGCCATTCCTCGTATAAGTCACCTCCACCTTGCTGGACCCGCACCTGCGAGATGAAGGTCAAGCAGCGTTCAATCTGACATTTCACCTCTTCCCGGGGCAGGTAGCCTTACAAATCTTGGCAGATAAGATTGTGAGCGCCCAGTGCAAGCATTCCTCTTGCCCGCTCGAAATTCTTGAACCTGGTAAAGGGCCCTTTAACGTGTTCACAGACAGAAGAAAAATTGATGCTGCATGGTTAGACCTAGTTAATACGAGGCAAAAAGACCCTCTGGCCTATTAGCACTCTGGCTCTTTGCTCCTTTGTTCTTTTCAGCGATGGCAAAAAGAAAGATCCAGGAGTGTGCTTATTCGATGGGGAACATTTATCTCACCATGCTGGACTAGAACAGGAGATACTGTATTTTTTAGGTCCTGCGAAAAAAAAAAAAAAAAAACTGAATAGCTATGCTAAGCCTTTACTATTTGTACCATTATAAACTATATTTCCATTTGCGTTCCTGTTGCAGACACAGATCTGACTCGTATTTATTCGAAAGCTTGAATTTTGTCAAATTTTATTGTATCTATATTTATAATTTTGGGGGCGTAAAAAAGTGTTTTGCCCACCTATTTTTGGCACCTCAGACCAGTTTTTTAGTGCCTATAAATCCAGCCTCTATTCATGACGTCAGCCCGCAAGGTTTCTAGTGAGAAGTGCACTATGGCGATGACAAAGTAATGTAATGTTTTAACAGTGCAACAGTCCCCACAACCCATCTGGGGCAGCGAGTTGAGTTTGTTCATCTAAAGTGTGCATTTCGATGGGAACAGAATTTACAGGCACGACAGAACCAACAACTTTTATGGTCCTGGACTTGATGCAATTTTTCCTGTTGCTTCAGAGTGAAAGTGCAGCCAGAGACATTTTGGAATGCCTCTCATCTAACTGTATGTGTTTCCTCCACTGATCAAGCCATCGGACACAAAGCACATGCTTTGTTTAAGAATGTTTCTTTTAAGTCCACTGACAGTAAGCCAGTAATGAATGGCGTACATACATAGAAAAGCAGCCCTGCCTAAGTCACGTCGAAAATTCACACATGGCACCGCCAAACGAGTTGACTCAAAAAGTCCTAGTAGGCCAGGGCCACTGGCCCCGCTGAAACGCATACGGAATGTTGCCCGACATGTTATCTGCTTTTGTGCCATGTTTTTTTTTTTCCTTCAAAGTTTACAGCCCAAAACGTGAGTTTACGCGCATTGTCGAAGGCAACAGATCGGGATCTGTGACTGGAGAGGAGGTTGGTGTAGCAGACGAGCAATTTTTTTTTCCCACGGGGTTTGCAAAACACTCTCTCCTTTTATTGTCCATTATGGTGACTTAATTGAGCCCCATCGAATAAACATGCTCCTGGGTCTCGTTTCTTGTTTTTCTTTTTTGCATGGCTGAGAAGGGCACCACAGGTGGAGGAAATCACAAGATCTCTATTAGACCAGACGGCTCTTTTAGCCTCATGTTAACCAAGTCCAATCGCACAGGGTCAACTTCTGCTCTGTGTGTTCTGCTCTGTGAGCTGGCAAGAGAAATGCATGCACTGGGCGCTCATCTGCCAAGATTTGGTATGCGCCCGGCAAGAGGCGAGATGTCACACTGAACGCTGCTTGCCATTCATGTCACGGGCGCGCACTCCAACATTGTGGAGATGCCAGGGTGTGGCACTCCAGGCCGTGCCCCCCCCCCCCCCCCTACAAAAAATGTTTTTCTCGTGCATACATAGCGCAAAATGACTGTTTCAATTACTTATCCTGCCCCTACTTTAGATCTAAAGATTGCCTACTCACGCCCACCCCCACCACCACCCCCCCCCCCCCGAAAAAATTTCTGTACACAACAGTGGTCTTGCGTACGTGAAAGTGGTATGTGACACTGCGACAATTATTCGAGGTGCCATGTGTAATTTGTGCAATCTGGTGCTTGAATAGAAACTCAGTAGCATTGAAAATTTGGTTAGTTGGTGATAGTTCATGTTTGCTTGTGAAGCAAGGCACAGAGACAAGGCACAAAAGGAACGATTATGACACCGCTGCGCTCGCAAATAGGTTATTTCGCAGAAAAACATAGTTAATATATCATATGATAGCGTACCACGTGTAGCGATCACGTTCGAGTTATAATAGCTTAAAACAACAGGTGCTTGACTAATGTATTCCATATAACTGAAACAAAAAAGAAAGGATTGCATGAGCCAAGCACGACATGTTGATAAGCCTACGTCGTGTGATCTTGCGGCTCCGAGCTGCTTTAATACCGAAGAGGGCCGTAAAGGAATTGGGCTTGCGAAGTCTACACAGGCTGAGAGGCAGAGGTTTCAAGCAAACTTGGTCACATAAAATTTTTGCAGTAGAAAGCTATTCAACAACTTCAAGCCTGTAACCGAAATTTGTCATATGACCTGCAAAGAGCCCTTCAAGAAGTAAATGACAAAACAAAAACCACATGAACATCTGTTTTTTCCCCTACACTCTATAACTTCCCCTAATGTCAATTCAGTTTAGCATTCGTTCTCCATCGTCCTTCGACTGCATAAAATCACCTCCTGCGCCCTACACGTGCGAGCACACGCTGTGGAGATGCTGAGCATACGACGTGTCGCGGATGAATACATGTGTAAAGGCTAATCGGTCTTCCTATTGGCTTAAAGGGCCACTCACCAGGTTTGACAATTATGAAATGACAAGTGCAATGAGTAGATAAGGCATTCATGATCACATCTGCCAAAATTTGCTATGCTACGCACCGTAGAAATGGGACAAATTTCAAGATGAACGCTGCTCCCTCTTCCTTTTGCGGGCGCTCGCCTAGAGAATGAGGGGATACCGTGCGCGTAAGAATGGCCCTACATACAAGGCAATGCAGTGACGTTGGTCCTCTACGTAGACTACTATGCTCCGACGTTGCCAACAGTGGCACGCGACATGGCGAAAATTATTTAACACAACATGCGTAGTTTCTGTATTTGTTGCTTGAAGAGAGTAATAAATCTCTAGAAAATAATGAGATGCATTAAAAAAATTTGAGCATTTTTTGTTTTCCCTGCCGTAAATTGCAACGAGATGCCAGGCTAATTTGCTTGCGTCTCACATGAGTTTGTGTCCCCGCGGTCAGCGCATCGAGCAGACGACAGCCGTGGAATGTTCCTACGCATTCAACAACTTATTGTGCTCATCTATTCTACAGCGTCCAAGCCAGCGTTTTCAAACCATCCCACAAAAACAGGCAGTAGACCTCAAAACAACGCTGGTCAAAAAAAAAAATTCCGCTCGCGAGCACGGGGGTTGGGCTTGTTCGGCCCAGTCATTTGCACGTGACCTCTTGGTCAGATGCCAGAGAGGAGAGATTTGGCTTGCAAAGACTACGTGGAGGAGCGGCAAGGGCTTTGAGCTCGCCTCCTCTCATCCTTGTTTCGCGCCGCTTCTAAAGAACAATTTTCTCAGCTCGTAACGAACAGATTAAAAAAATTTTTGTGGCAAAATGTTCCTCATCGGCCACCCAAGAACTTTCATGGTCTTACTAAAATTTGGTATGGGGCCTGGTGAGTGGCCCTTTAAGAGGGCCTTATAGCCTTGAAAGTGCTGGGAGGAACTTCCAACATGGAGTATAGATTGCAGCCCATAGACTTCCGAAAGCCCAATTTGGCCCTGTAGCACGAATACCACTCTCCAACTTTACTAAAGAGTAGAATTTGAGATTAAATAATGTTCATAGAAGCACCAGTTTCGAAAAAAAGAATTTATAGGCACTTACAGAAATTTAGGTATCAAAAATAGGCACTTACAGTCACTACAAAACACTATAAAAGCCCTTCTTAATCTATAATTTATGCTCATTGATCAAAATGGTACGATAGTAACCCAATAAACAGAATAGGCATTTGCCTATAATCTGGTCTCCAGTGATCACGATGTAATTTACATAATCGGCAGTTACAGCTTTCACAGCACGTTAACGTGCAGAAGAAATGCTGGTTTGTTTCACGCTTTTGTTTTTTTAATGTTTTAAACAGTGCCAAAAGCCTAATCGGTTTTATGGTTCGTCAAATCCCAGGTGAGAATCTCTTTTGTTTCGCGCTTTTTATTGTGGCGTTACGAACAGTGTATGAGTACTATAAGCAGATAACTCTTGCACAACTGGTAGTTGGAGCTCTCGAAGCGTGTTCACGTGCAGGTGAGCAGCTGTTTTGTCTCCCGACTTCTTTTGCTGCGTTTCGAAAATTATCCACTTAATCTTCGTTTCACTTTCTTCGTAGCTGACAGCGAAGCACGGGGTGTCCGCGTTCAGCTGCACTTGCAAGGCCGGCGCAAGTTGAAATTGCAAAGAAGTTGCAGAGGTCGTACTTTGTGTAAACCATCCTCACCATTCTCAACAGACCAATCACAAGCTTGCGATCGGCCATCATCGAAACCTGACACGTCCGTAAAGGAGCTCGTTGGGGAACTCTTTTGAAGTAGGCATAAAAGGCATCCGTGCCGTGTGTTGACAAGCTACTGTGTGGGCAAAAAGTGGTGAATCTCTGCCTATGTGATTTTTTTCAGTATTTTCTTCTTGCTAGCATGTCCAGAACTCTATTGTGGGGTCTGAAGGTGGTAATCGCCACAGTGCTCTTGGAGTGAACGAACACAGCAGACACGATCGGTACAAATGAAACAACACATTTATTTACCTACTTTTGATCGA